CCAGGACGAAGATGATGTTGACGACGCGTCGCGCCGGGGTTGCCAACCCTGGGGACACATCGTAGACGAAGGCACGCGTCGGTGTTGCCAGCACCGGGCATGCGTAGACGGACGAAGACGAAGTTGACGAAGCGCCGCGCCAGGCTTGCCAGGCCCGGGGACACGTCGTGGACGAAGGCACGCGACGGTGTTGCCAGCACCGGGCATGCGTAGACTGGGACCTGCACAAGCTGTACGCCATGTCGAAGAAGTCGGGGTAGATGACGGCGACGCTGGCGACGGGCTGGTGCTGGATGAAGACGAACGGGGTGGACGGGCGGCGGCGGCGGCTACGGGGGTAGCGGCGGCGGCAGCCGAAGAAGAGCGGCGGCGGCGGCGGCTAGGTTATGAGCGCGGCGGCGATGCTCGAAGTAGGCGAAGAACCCTGACAACATGACGAAGACCGGCGCGGACGATGGCGTTCCCGCGCCAAGGGAAATGACGCGGCGCATACCACGGGAGGTTGACGCGCGGTGACGGCGGAGTGGACCGCGGGCCGCGGGGCTACGGCCTGAAGGGGCGACGCAGCGGCGGCAGGTGGGTCGGGGCGACGACGGAAGACCTCGGGACGGTCGCAGGGACCGCGGGCCGTGGTGCTACAGCCCAAAGGGGCGGCGCAGCGGCACAACGCAGGGTGGTTCAACCGCGTGGACGGCCTTGAGACGGCGGCGTGGACCGCGTGGCGCTACGGCCCGACAGGGCGACGCAGCTGCGGCGCGAGGGTCGGTGCAGCCACGGGGACGACCTGGAGCGGACGGCCTCGGGGCGGCAGTAGACCGCGGGCCGCGGCACTACGGCCCGAAGGGGCGACGCAGCGGTGACACGGGTCGGTGCAGCCGGGAGAAGAACCACGGGGCGGCGGCGCTGCGGCCCAACGGGGCGATGCAGCGGTAGCCCGTTGCTCGATCGGCGGAGGGGCGCCCTGAACTTGGAGACGATCTTCACGGGACCTGCGGAGGCGCGCGTAACTGACGGGTCAGGTCTATCGCGTGGCGTAGATGAGGCGGATCGCGGCGGCGAGCAGGTGATCAAGCCGATCGCGCGCGAGGTCGGGGACACCGCTTGGTGGAGGCGCGGTGGCGGCGGAGTCCGAGATGAAGCTGGCGACGATGGGCGACAGGGCGGCTATGATTGGCCGCCGCATGGCGCGAGGCCGCCGGGTCGGGGGATATAGGAGTCCCGGTCGGAGCAGGGCGGTGACGGCCGGCGCAGGACGACGGGCGGGCCGGCGCGCGAACGACGGCCTTGAGGGCTGCCTGTCACGCGAGGCCGTCGGGTCGGTGAAGTAGCTGGCCGGTCGCGCCGATGTCGGAGTAGAGGCGCGAGGTGTCGACGGCGGCGGCGGGCGACGCAAACCGATCTTAGATCGGAAAACCAAAAAGTAAGCGCCGATCAAAACGACCGGCAAGAGAGCGAAAAAACCCGGAGCAAGGGCTCGGGAAAAAGACTCTCTAGGGCAGCCGGCCAACACGACCGGCGGACGAACCCTAGGTAAGGGCGGCGCGGCCCCCGGCGGCGGTCATGGAGGCCGACCGCCCCGGGGGCGGCACGCAGGTGCGGAAACAGCGGCGGCTAGGGTTTAGGATCGACTTGCGATAGATACCATGTTAGAAGGGAGAGAGGGATTGATGGAATAGTTTTTCCTTGTATTGCTTGAGCCTCGTGGGCATATATATAGGAATACAAAGACTAACTTAGAGTACAAGACAAGGCAGGACAAATCCTAGTCTATCTTATGTTTCCTAATTAATCTATATACTCAACACTAGTGCTTCTGACTTGATGATACGGAAGATTGCTTGGCTGCTCTGTTTAGTGCGTACCGACGAGACCTACAACTCCCAATGTCAGTGCGCACATGATTGACTCGTTGGCCTACAATGGGTCAACCAAATGCTTTCCTTTCGACTGTGCTAACTTTCCAGCTTTGCAACTTACTTGGGATGCAGGTGACAATATATCTGTTCCTGCGCATATGTTGTTGCTACCGATGATGGCAAGGTTCATTTTATTTCTTTTTGAAACGGAGGCAAAATAATTGCCTCGTTGATTAATTAAGAAGAAGAGAATTATCCGGTTAATGTACGGAAAACCGGGCTAAAACCGATACAATCAAACCATAATTTGGTTACTCACCAATCATGACCCCACAAGCACTCGTGCAACCCGCCAAACCCTCCTAACACGCAATAACTCCTCACGCTTGTCACCACAATCTTGAACCCGACAAGAACGTCCCAACAAAAAATAGTGGACCACGCTGAAACCACATATGACGACCCAAACCATGAGGATGAGCCGAGGGACCGGGAATCATCCATTAAGCAGCTGTGGGCGTGGCGCCACTCTTTTTGCCTTTGCACCTTGGTGGCTTCTCCTTCACTATACCAGACCGAGGGCAATCACTCGCCTTCTTGTATTTGCCCTTGTATGTCGTTCCCGTCAGGAGGCAAGCAATCGCCCTTCCAGTTCCAGGGCTAACAGTCTCCACGCTAGCGAGCAAGTCACAAAGCTCTTTTGCAAAGAGAGCATTGGAATTATCCGTCGGCGGGGGTGGAATGGTTGCAGAAGCCACATGTGAGTGCGCAGCCGAGTTCACCTCACTCGACTCACATGTCAAGGTTGAATCATGTCCCTCACACATGGTTGCTTGCGTGTCCACCATCATATGCTCCACTGATAGAGGTGAATCAGAGCTCGCACATAACACTTGAAGCTCGGGCATCACCTGCAGCACCGGAGGCACAACCACGGGAATGCTCCCGCCCTCAACGATAGACATCACAGCGGGCAAGGCAGACGGCGATGATGAGTTGTCCATAACTCTAGGGGAGAAACAACCATAGAGCTCCCCAACTCTATTCTCCACTGAGCCACCAACATCAACCTCACTAGGAGGATGTGGCGCAGGAGCGGATTGCAACACAGCCGGCACAAGAGAGAGCTTTCCCAGAGCAGCCTCTGCTCGCTCCAGAAACCTCCCAACGCGCACCGGGAGTTCATCCTGGGCAGCTAGAGTGGACTGGAGCAGCACATCAGATGGGGTTGCCGACTCAGCGTGAGCGCAAACGACCGATGCCCAGGACCTGCGGTGAAGCACCTTGGAGGGGAGCTGGGATACCATCAGACCATCACAAGGAGTTGGAGCTCGGTAATGCTCGGTGTCGAGGCGAGACCGTGGCGGCATGGGAAGGCATGCAAGTGAGCTGAATGGACGCCAAGCATTGTGACACCCACGCGCCCAGTGGCCGTTCTCCAAACAGCGGCAGCACCTCAAGGGATCTGTGCAATCAGCGGCTCGATGACCAGGAGCAAGGCATCTACAACACCTACCAAAGAGCCAAGCCGGAATGGGACAAGGGGGTAATGCCGGACTTGGCGACTCCAGACGGCGCCGGCCACGCCGAGGCAGCACATCTTGCCATCCTCCAGTCGCCTCCCTCTCGGGCATCACACACTGATCAGCATGCTGAGCTGCCGGGACAGAGCTTTTGGCAGCCGATGGCGTCAATGGGGCCAACTCCTCCTCTTCCTCATCGTCAACATTCTCGTCACCAAGGGAAGCCCAGGACACATGCCGCCCCATGCCTAAGTCGGCCGGGGATGCGTCGGCGGGCGCTGTCGGGGACGAGTCGAAGATGAGCGCTGCTAGAGACGAAGCGGGAGCGGAGGGCTCTATCGAAGCCGAAGATGTCGTCGCCTCCTCCCCGAGGAGCGTACGTGCCACCCTTCGCCCTTGGACGGTTGGGTCGGCGCGGCGGGAGGCCAGGACGGCCGCGGCGAGAGCTGACGCGGGAGCTGGAGCGGGAGGCGGCGGGCAGCCGACGCTCAGCACGGCAGGAGTGGCCGCCGCCGTCGTGACTGACGCGGATGCAGGCCAAGGTCGTGGGTCGGGGCGGCGAGAGGCGAGGGCGGTCGCGGGAACTGGAGCAGCGGGCGGCGAGGAGCCGGCGAGGAGCAGCGGGCGGCGAGAAGCTTCATTTTATCATTCCCTTGGATCTTGATGGCCCTCCTATTCATCGGCTTCGGTTTGGGGGCTAGCCGTATTTTATGGAGGGAAGATAGTCAGCAAACCTGGGCCTTGCTGGCTCCCAACCACTCCAGTCATGGTAATCTTGGACACCGGTAATTGAAGTGGTGCTCGCTAACCGCCCGGAACAGAAGTCAAAGTTCACACTGACACCCAGCCTAGAGAAGCCAAGAGGACAGAGTGAACTGTCGGTTAGCCGGAAACGTGCAAGAGGAGCCCCTCAGGAGCCCCTCGTTCAGGATTACAGCCTTCCAGGGCATTGTCAAGCTTATGTATTTTGGCATTCCTTATAGTTGATTTTTTTTCTTTCATCCTTCCACTATTTATGTACCTTGCTTTTGTGGCGAAAGAAATAGCACTGACTTCTCTCAGCTTGTTTGACAATTGTTATCAACCTTTAAGGCTCCTTTGATTCGCAGGATTCCCAAAATATAGGAATAGGAAAAACATAGGATTCCAATGTCATGGCCATATGAACCCTACAGGGTTTTTGTTTGCTTGATTGCTTCACAAGAAAAATGAAGGATATTTTCAAGATATTAGAGTTGATGGTAAAATTTCTATGGATTGTGGTACAAGAGAATCCTTAGGAAAAATTCCTGTAGGATTTAATCCTACTAATCAAATTAGCAACTAGTAAAAATTCCTAAGAATTCCAATACTTCAAAATTTCCTATGAAAGTCCTTGGAATCAATGAGACCTGTAAGATATTGGTAGATTCAGATAATCATTTGTAGTTAAATCAATAGAAACATAGAAGTGTTGAAGCAAATTCAAGATAGTAGGCTACATTCAGATGCACGAAAATATGTTGATTATTACAAAATATGCAAATCCAAAGGCATTTGGGAGTTGAGAGTTGAGACAACACCTCACAAGCGACCATTTTGGTTGGTTAAACAGTCAAACACCTGTCTTTGTTGTGAAACTTCAAATATCAGCAGTGCCTTCATTGTTAGACTCACTTGGCTTCCATGTGGATAATGCATAGACTATCCTTCCCTTCCAACCCAACACCAGGAATTGGCCTTCTTCATCGACAAAAAGGTCTTTGTGATAAATCTGTCTCACAATATGTTGTATTCCATTAACAATGGTTGGATTCAGTGGAAGCTGCTCAAACCTGGCCCTGAGGCTTCGTACCTTCCATTCCTTGTAACTCTCGGGCCTCTCAATCCTTTCTGATCCTTCACATGCAATGACATTGAGAATTTCATATTTGTATATATCCCTCTCCAGGATTAATCTTGTCTCGTTATCTCGTGGAGTCGTTTTATCAAGCATATCAAACAGTGAAGCATAGTGGTGCACTTAAAACGTGATAAAAAGAAGGGGTTGTTGTAATATCCGTTCACAACTCCATGTATGAAAACTCTCGGCTTCATCATCTTTATGGTATTGAGCACTCTGTTCCTGGCGCTGTTGATGGATATTGTCTCATCAGCAATATTCTTCATCCGATTTATACAATTGACTACGAGCACTTCACCTTTGTTAATGTTCAAATCTTCAATGGAGATGGATTCCCACTTTGATGAGATCTGCCGGTATTCAAGAGGTACTTTGAACATGCCGGCATATTCAAGTAATCGCAGCTGTGTGCTGTTCTTCCTTCCATCTGGCCGGAAACCGGGCATGGGCAGTTCTATACCTGTAATCCGAAGCTTAGGCGGCCCACCTTCTCTATCCGCAAATTGTTTCAATAATGATGGCCATTGAAAACCAAAGCAAATGCCAAAATCAATAATGTGCACGTGTGATTTTCCCTTTGAGACATCAAGGATGGTTTTGTTCGAGAAATAATATGATGATCTCAAGTAATGAGATACTGTGAAACAAAGATGGAATAGCTTTAGAATATATGCTGCACTCCTTGGTGTGTAGTGATGAAGTTCCGGTTTATCTGACTCCCATTTCCAGACATTCTTATCTCCAGGCAATCTGCTAGGTAAAACGCTAGCCTCTGGGTATCATCCCCACTTGGTGAAGAATGATGTCTTATGCTTTTAAGTATGTCACTTGCTAAGCTATGGTTGTTCACAGATACTGCTTGTGCGCAATGTATAAGGAGAGTTCTGAGATCCACTACCTCTTTCTTCTTTCGTGTTTTACCTCCCGTCTTTTGCCTAGCTGGCTTTCTTCCTTGGTCTTTCTGTGCATACTTGGTAGATGTATCTGCCATGGTTCGTTGCGAAATAATACCTTCATCTATGGGCTTCTGGTCAGAGCAGAGTAGAACCTTGTCGAAAGCCTCATTTCGCGCCGGCTCATCGGAGGAAAAAGCAATCTGCTTGTTTCTCCTTCCTTCTAACAAATCAAGCTCTTCTATACCCGGATAAACTTTTCGACCTCGAACTTCAAATGATGCATTCTTCATTGTGTCTCTGTCATTCATATGAGGTGAATGATAATCCCGGCTAAGCTTTTTGGCAATAGAAAGGCCATTGATGTTCAAACCAATTTCCATTCTTTCAGCACCCAGAGGGAATTGTTTTGCCTCTCCAACAATTGCGGATAAAGTCCATGGAGCCTGAGATCTTTGTGAGTTTTCATTGGGGTGATAATCATCTGAGCTGACATAAACAGAGCAATTGCAGCATACTTGTCCATTAAGCCTGCTGCCATTGCCATTTAGGTTCTCTAGGCGACCACATCCACAGAGTGTTACATCAGGCAAAACTGGATACTTTTGTCCAAGAAGTTCATAGAAGGGCTCCTCCATGGTTCTAATGGCAGTCTCGCCATGAGGTGCTCTGACCTTGTCATCAATGTCCTGCATCAACATCTGTTCTATGTAGCTGAGAGTTACATCAGAGTCGGTCCTTGGGTGCTCCACCACACTGGTTAGGCGGCAACCAGCTGATGTGTCATCACAGCTGACATTGCAGAATTGGGGAGCAATCTTGTTGGCAGCAATTGATAGTGCAGGATAGTTACTCATAGGGGTTGGTGGATGCAAAATAAAGTCCGAATCATTGTACTTGGTGGTACTTGACTCGATGAAGTCCTGAGAACAATAGGCACTGCAGCAAGCCGTGTTTGCCATGATGCCGTGAAAATCAGCCGAGCTGGGCTTGTCACTAGTACCCATGATTGATTTTGTGCTACACTCATTCATATGATCTTTGCAGTGTGTCTGGTTGCACTTTGCTCCACATTTTCCTGAATTAAATACAGTGTGAACAGTTGAGTAAGTATGTGAACAGCAGAATAACAAAAGGAGGAAAAATACACGAAATATTCCTCTAGCACATCAAGCCGAAATTAATATGAGAGACATTATGTGGTCATGTCGTTTAAGGCTTTTGGAGTAATCCGCACGTGGTCTGTTTGTATCGGTTTTCACCCAGTTTCCCGTTTATTAATTGGGCAATTCCCTTTTGTTTAATAATTGGCGAGGCAATTCCATTTTGTAAAAATAACAGTATGTAGGACATTGCCATCTTTCCTGGGATTCATTGCAGTGATACCAATTTTCTTTAACCAACACCTGGCTTGAAATTTGCTATCACCCACCCCACCTAAATATATTACTCAAAAGTGCCATTTCTGGTGGGTGATAGCAAATTTTCAGAACTTTAACAGGTTGTAGACATACGGGTCAGTACATTAGAAATCACAGTACCTTCAGTTCATGGCTAGCTACTTAAGTTTTCTCAGACAATGGACATGTCAAAAGACCGGTCAAGAAAAAAAAAGAGAAGATAGACTCACCATTGATTATATTGCCTGTAGGGGATCACATAAAATTCCACAGACGCTAGATCTAGCAGGACTGGCTGATATTGTAGACTATAGATGAAATAGCAAGCCAAGGGGTGCGCCTGTCTGTCGGCCGAGAGAAGAAGAGCAGCTTGATATAGTATTTTAGTTGTGCTGAAACTGGCTAAGCTGTACGTACTATTTCGGCTGTGCTGAGGGAAGCAACAAGAAGGGCATGCCTGCCCTTTTTATGGAGCCGCTGGTGAGTTTGCCAGTTTCAAATGTAAGCTAGCAGGCGGCACTTCAGAGACTAATGACGTGATGCAGCGTGTCATCACTCATCAGACGCCAATTAGGAGTGAAGGGAGGTGATTTTTTTTATTGCGGTTGTGGAAGCTGGAGCCTTGGGTTCCTCAGCGGGCTCTTTGTCTTCCTTTGGCAATTTGGCTCCAAGGATGCTAAAAATAGTTTCCTACGGCTCCCGTGCACATATATAATTTCAAAGGCTTGTGGTCGTGTTCAACTGTCGTCCGAGGGTTGTCACCCATCCTCGTCGCTCTCGACCGGACTGGGTCATCCCTCGGCGCCCTTCCACTGGCTTCCGCTCTGCAGATCACAGCTTGATTTTTGCATGGGTTTGAAGGAGAAGCAAGGCACATGTGCAGAGAAGAGTGCATGATGCGCGCTTCTCCTTGATCGTGCTCATGGATGGATTTATTTTTATGGTAGTATGTGCTTACATTGTTGCTCGGTGGACTCAAACATATCACGTTATGTGATATATACAGAGTACCTAAGTATATGAACGTTTTACGTGTAAAGAAAAATATTCTCGGAAGATCTCTCATGGTGAATAGGACACTGCTTCATATTCAGGGTGAAAATCTGCCATATGACCTTTGCGGGTGCCACAAACTTGCATCGTTACTTTCTGGAAGGTGTTGTCCACATATCGATATTCTGGCCTTCACTAGTTGGACCCGACATCCATGGTGAAAATACTTCTCATTGTAACCTCATGCTGGACATGGCAACATCGATAGATATTTATGCTAGCTTCCATTGACATATGAGCAAATATTGGTATTAATAGGAAAATCAAACTAATGAAGATGGAGTACAAACTCAATAAGAGCCTTCGCGGCACAGTCAATGTCACAAGCTTTTTTGATCACCTCATCCAACCCAACACTCTCCATACTTGCCTCGCTTTCTGGCATTGAAACATGTGCGTTGTATCCATGGTCCCTTGGGACATGAAGGACGTTGAGCAAAACTTTCAGCTGCCTATTACTGAGTATAACACGACAGGGGAGAGTGTCGTGCCTATTAGCGAGTATAACATGGCAGGGGAGAGTGCCGTTCAACATGCGCTAGATACATTTTTTTGACCTTGGCAAGGCAATATAATTTCTAAAATTTACTCCAAACTGCATTAACTGTGGTATATCCCATCCACTGTTTTAAATAGCCCGCTATAACTCCGCTATAGCACGCTATAGCGTTTATAAAAAGTCTTGCGCTAAGAGAATTTGTTCCAAACAAATAAACAAACATTTTAAATAGCTCCGCTATAGCTCCGCTATAGCACGCTATAGCATTTGGAAGAGGTCGGACGCTAAGATGCTTAGCGCGCTATTTAAAACTATGGTCCCATCTCGCTGATGCGTCTAAGTTCTCTCTCATGATGATGATGATCTCACTCTGTAAAGTATATATGACGTATGTTGATGTGATATGCTAGCATGTTGAGAGAAATCAATAGATAAAAGGATTACACTGAAAGGACACGTGACTCAGCTGAAAAAAGGGACACGTGGCTAATGAGAAAAGCAAACGGGGCGGAGACCGGGCTTTTTTTTCTAGCGCTGGTAGTCCGGCCCTGATCTAAAGCCATGCGGGAAAATTCCTTTGTAGGCCTCTCGTGCCTCACGTTGGACGAGACTTGCCTGCTTCCCTCACGTGCGCCCATCCGTGCTCCCGCATACGTGGCTTGATTTGATTGGACCAAAATAAGGCCCGGCCCCACCCCCTGAAAATCAGGGGGAAAATGATTATATTAGAAAGGAAAAAGGAAAAAGGACAGCCATAGGATGAGGGGGGAGCACGGATGGGAGCATGGGAAGGGAGCAGGCAAGCCGGATCCCCTCACGTTTCGGGCAAGGAAAAATTTGCCTACTCGATCTAAAGAAATAAATCAACGGTGGTTAAGCTATTTTTAGATACTCCCTCCATTCCTTTATATAAGGGCACAAACTCAAATTACATGTACTAAAGTAAAATTTAATGACTGTTTTGCAAGTTAACTTTTCTTTTCGTTAACCGGGATCATTAATACGCTCGCATGCATGCAAGGAAGCAATGAGAAGAAAGTAGCACAATGTCCACATGCATACAAGTTATTAGTACGAGGAAACATCATTAAATTTTGCCTTGGTTACTATTAGTGGTCTTGTATAAATGAAAAATGTATTTTTCATAGTTGGCATTGTATAAGGGAATGAAGGGAGTACAAAGGATTACACTGAAAGGACACGTGACTCCTCTGAAAAAGGGACACGTGGCTGATCAAAAAAGCAAAC